TTAAAGCCCCACAGCTCTCTCTCTCTCTATTTTTGCAGTTCATTATTTCTACATTCACAACTTTTCTTTGTGTCTGCTTAAGTGTTATTATATTACACAGGGGCACACAGGATGTGCAGGGATGTATCACTAGCTTTATAAAGGAAGTCAAAGTGAAAAAATGAATTTAATAGAACACAATTTGCTTCAAGAATATTTACTTTTCAATGCAAACTTTTATTAAGGATTTCAAACTAGGAATCAACCAAATCACATTTGAAATATCTGTATCTAGAGAAATAACAACCAGTTTATCATCCTGTATGTTTATAGAGTGCTGTCTCAGAAGGCTTCTTTAAATATCATGCAGACTATCTCAATACACCTAAACATCCTATATTACTCTTAAAACCTATAATTTTGAATTTTCTGTCCTTTAAAGATGAGCATTTACCTTTTTAGAGGGTAGTAGCCACTAAGCTCTTGTCATCACTAATAAAGATTAATAGGGAATGGACAGTCACTTTGTACCTCTTCAAACTACCTCTTTTTATTACGTCCTCAATGGGTAGGGCTAAATAAAGTACATTTGACCACTAAGAATGGGTCGTTTTTCTCTTGAATCTATACTATCTGCTTAAAACCAGAATGCTTAAGGGGTTGTCTTATGTAAGGATGACTTGTAATTCTCAATTCCCATGGGTATATGTGACCATATAACAGATATGCTTCAGCAGTTGTCTTTAGATCTCTAGTCCTGCTTTTCTGCAATTGCAAAACAGGGTGTTTGAACTGTAATCTCTAAAGCTTGTCTTAAACTAACATCCATTGCTAACACAAACAAAAACATCTTTCTGAATACAGGGGACAACAGCTACCAAATCCTTTTCTTTCCAGGAGATAGCTTCTCAAACACAAAAACAGGATAATTGTTCAGAAGTATTTGCATAGGTGACCATTAAAATACAACCATTAGCTTCTTCCTCCATATAAATTACAAATGTCTCATTAATATTTCACAAGAATAATATGCTAAAATAAAATATTATTCAGCCTAATACAGTTGTCTTATATTTAGATGGCTTTTAAATCATGTCAAGCAAACTTTTTCCTACGAAGGGTCACACACAGCATTAAAGAACTAACAGTAACTCTGTAAAGAATTATTTCTCATTGTCATTGGAGCTCAGTTGAAGAGCTCTTCTTAAAAAGTACTTCGTAAAAAAATTGTTGAGGTTTTGGAAGCAAGTCCTGTTATTCTATACCCTCATGTACCCTGAATTTGGAGAACTACAACTTCAAAATATTTAGAATTGGATACATTTTTCAATTATCTCCCCCCGAACCCTACATGAAGAAGAAAGGTAGCATCTTCTGGGATGAAAATAAGGATACAGTCATTAGATATGTACTTAAGACAAGCAAGGTATGGTGCTGCACACCATTATTCCCAGCACTCAGAAAGCAGAGGCAGGCAGGTCTCTGTAATGTCACAGCTGGCCTGATATATATATGAAAGCATAGACCAGCCAGGGCTGAGTAGTAAGAAGCTGTTATAAGAAAATTATCAAAAATTTTAAAATTTCAACAAATACCATACCTTAGGACATGTCCTCTCACCCAAATTCTTGATAGTTGCTCATCTCTTCTGGTCCCACGTCATTCTGCTGCTGCCATTAACAGTCTTGATTAGCCTCTCCTCCATGCTTCTTACAGTCTTCATATCTTATGCTCTTAAATTACTGTTAGAAATTTTAGACTTTAATTTCCTGCCTTCACAGCTCTCCCTCCCTTAGAGAACACAAAAGGGTTTGTTGACCAAGTAATCAGTCAGTACCATTTAAACTAGAAGTGGGGTTCTTTTTAATGAAATTTTCAGACTCAGTTCTCTATACAGTAGTCCTAGCTATCCTGGAACTAGTTCTGTCGATCAGGCTGGCCTTAAACTTAAAGAGATCCACCTAACTCTGCTTCCTGGGTGCTGGGATTAAAGGTGTGAAATGGCCCGCATAGAAGTGGTCTCCCCATGGGCAACCTGCCTTGCAATGAGTTCTCTTTTGGAACTATATTAGTTTGCTAAAAATACCAAATAAAAGGAAGACAAGCATTGGACGTGTTCATTCCCTGTCTTTTCTTATTACAAGCCAAATGCCTCACGAAATTAAAGACACTCAATAAATATTTATTTATCCAGTATCATTTCAACTGTTGACTGCTATTCCATATTCCTATGACTGCCTCCATTTCAGTATATCCTGTCTTATAGCTCCTTTCAACTTCCAAGGTACTAAGCTGGAAGTTTCAAACACTGCAGAGAATCCTTGTTACCAGTACTCATTAAATTTCTTACTAGCTAAAATCTTATCAGGGGAAAGTGATCACTGTAAGAGAATAATGAAATAGAAAAATAGAGAACTGATTTTTATATCATATACAATTTGCATGTACTCGTATATTATACTCATAGCATGGTATGGCACTCTTAATTTATTATATAATAATATCATTAAAGAGTTGAACTGTTTAATTTCTCTTACTTGTATTGAAAGTTTACATTTTTAATGTATGTACTTATATCATGTACTATAGAATTCACAGTTTTACAGATTGGGAAATTATAAAGATGAAAGAAAATTTTACAATCAGGTTGTCATTCCAGATAGTTCCATGCATACTCAAGCATGTGTTTACAAATGTATACCTAGCTATAAACAAACATTCTGTAACTCACTTTCTCATTTTCCATATGCATAAACATTTTCCAATGCCATCATACTGGATATTACATAGGAAGTCATTGTATGACATCATCCTTATAGTAGTGATAAATTCTTTAGCAGTGAATATTAACACTGTTTATAGTTTATTATAATCATAAGCAATGCTATAATTAATACTTGCTGCCTATTTTAAGGATTCAGGCATTATGCTGACCTACCTCTGTCATCTGGCAGAATGCACTCAGGTGGTACCTTGGTCAGCCCAGGGTTCCATGGTTATGTAGTATGCACACAGGTGCAAAGGACCCTTTTAAAAGAAAGAACCCTGCCCATCCACACTCTCTTTCTGCTCTCTTTTTTCCCACTCTTTCCCTCTCTTTGCTGTTGTTCCCCTAGGGCAGACAGGGCTTTTCCTATCTCCCTCTTCTCTTCTGTCCTCTCTCTGTCTCTATGTCTCTTTACTCCTTTTCTCTTTTCTTTTTTTCTGTCCCTTTCTAATAAAGTATCTCACTTAGGCTCTGTCCACCTGCCTTGGTCACCCTTGTTCTTTTGCTATAATTATTACCTAATAAACACAAACATGAGACTCAGAGTTCACATGGAGTTTATTGAGAGAGGGGAGAGAAAGGGGGGGTAGCTCTTGGCCAACCGAAAACAGGGGAGAGAGAGAGAAAGAGAGAGAGAGAGAACAAGAGCGAGAGTAAGCGAGCGAGTGAGAGAGACAGAAGGAGAAAGAGGAAGAGAGAAGGAGCAAGAGAGAGAGAGAGAGAGAGAGAGAGAGAGAGAGAGAGAAGGAACAAGGAAAGGCATGCTTGGCAAACTTGCTTTAAAAGGGAAACTTGCTCGTGTGTAACTGAGGCCCCTAGCAGCCAGGTAAAGCTTGAGCAGCCAGGTAAGTCATGACATAGATAAGACATAGCCATGCGCATCCCGCCCATCATCAGGGGGCAGGGTCAGCAGACTGCTGGTTCCCAACAACCCTCACCTGCTTTGAAAACCACCATGGTTCCCCACTGGCTTTATCTTAACACCTATAACTTTGTGGGCTTTTCCAATTGATTTATTCATATTACTCAAATTGAACATTTATTTATGTCTTCATTAGAGTATCTTTTGGAAAATATGAAACCATTTAATTTCAGTAGTAAATATATATTCTGGGAATTCTATGGCCAGAAAAAGAGGTGTGGTAGAAATGTCAGGCTAAGTTACTGAGCAGATAAGGAAAATGTTCTTCTACCTGGCTACTTTGCATTAAATTCCCTGGCAGCCCTGGAGGGTTTAGTGTATTTATATTATAGGCAGCATTAATTTTTAGGAATTAATTAGTGCTTGCTGATCAAATGTAAGTGATTCAACATGATTGCAGATTGACCTGGGGATAAAGCATTGTAACTTTCCCCCTTTGTTTTCTGGATGATGATAGATTTTATTAATTTAGTTTCTCCTCCTCAAGTGAAATGTGGGTTTTATAGCACAGACCATTCATTAGTATTTTCCTACATGGCTTCTAAGGATTAACATGTTCTAAATACAGCTGATAGTAAAGCACTCCATTTCTTGTCTAAATTATTCATTTTACAGGAAGCTTTCTTTTCCATGTGAGGTTTTGTCTCTGCACCTTTTACACAGAGTAAACAATGAGAAAAAAAATGTTGGAACTAGGTGAAAAATCAGTACTAGGTACAGAGGAATAAAGGGTAGAGGGCCAAGAGAAGCATATGGGAAGCAGAGCAGAAAGGAACAGATACCAGAAGGAAGGAGTCAAAGGAAAAGGCTGCTCAGGGAGGAAGAAATAGAAAAGTAGAAATGTGAGGAAAGGCCTTTCCATTTCTCAAAGCAGAAAGAGATCCAGCATGAGTCACAAGGAAGACTGGAAGACTTGGGGGGGGGTTATTACTCACTGGGTCTAAGGACTTTTTATTTATGTATTTATGTATTTATTTATTTATTTATTTATTTTTCTACCAGAAACATTAAATATCATCAGCTGAATGGCTGAAACAAGATAGGTAAACATTTGATTCCAGCATGCAAACTATGCCAAAAGTCTCAGAAATCTGCATGTGAAAAGAAACACATGTCAGAATATGGCCTTGCCTCAAAATTGTCATTGAAATCTCCCCCCACCCCTTGTTTCATGACTTGCAAAATCAGGTAGCTAGATTTTATTGACAGTTATAGTATGTAACTCACAATAGATATGTATCATGGCACTATCCAAACAATACAATGGAATTAACAGAGTCACCAAGTACCGTTCTAGATATCCTGATACAGTATGCTCCTGTTGATTTTTAGGTCCCATTTGGATGCCAGTTCTGACCAGTGGAAGCGTCTGCATCTTTCTCTCCAGGAACTTCTAGTGTGGCTACAGCTGAAAGATGATGAATTGAGCCGGCAGGCACCTATCGGTGGTGATGTCCCAGCAGTTCGGAAGCAGAATGATGTACACAGGGTATGATGATTTAGAGAGTAATGATTTGGGCATAGTAAGCATTAAATGGCTATTTTTAATTGTTTTTATTAAATATTAAATGGGAGAGGAATATTTTAGTCATTTCATCCAATAATTAATTTTGAATAACTGACACCCATTAAATGTCAAAAATATCTGCATTAGTAATATCCCTTTATCTATATTTAAATTCACCTTATCATGGAAATCATTGAATATTTATGAAAGTAGACAGAACACTAAAATAAACATTCATGTGCTTTTCAAGATAGCAACAATCCTCAATTCTTAGGCACTCTTGTTTCTAAACTATGTCTCTATTCATTCCCTTGTCATTTTGAAACAAATCTCAGTCATATTCCATTTATTCCTATTTTAGGAAGTATCTCAAAAAGAGAAGGATTCTTTTTTAAGTAAATATAGCATTGTAGTACTGTAAAATAGCAGTAGTTTAATCACATCAAATATCCATAAGTATTTCAATTTATCACCTATATCACATTTTATTTTTTCTGTTTTATTTTAAAATCAAAATTGGATCCACATATTGCATTTATTTAATTTTTTGTTATAATAGTTACATAATTTCTCCCTTAAATTTCTTTCCTCCAAACCTTCCTTTTTCTCTCTTAAATCCATACCCTCTTTTTTCATTATTTGTTACTGCATGTTTTCATATATTTTTTCCTACAGATAATATGCTCAGTCTGTATAATGTTGCTTGTATATGTATTCAAACCTGACCATATGGAATTGGATAACCAATTGGTGTGTTTATCTCTGGGAATATCTATTTCTCCAATTCTTAGCATATTTTTAGTTTTCTGTGGTTCTTTGTGTGGGGTTGAAGCTTTGTGGGCTTCCTCCTATTCTTTTCAGCATGTCTATTGTTGTTCATGTTTACCTCATGTTTAAGCAATATTAATGACACTTTACAGGTGTAGTTTCAAACATTACTAGTTTATACAATCACACTGCAAGTTCTACTTGCTCTTACAAAAATTCCACCACAATTTCTGCAGTGCTTACTGAATGTTAGATATAGCAGCTATTTTGTAGATATAGCCCATTGGAGGCTACAAGAACTCTGCATTTGGATTGGTTGTGGTTTTCTGTTATTGCCTCAGTCTGTTACTAAAACAAGTTCTTTTGGTTAGAGGTGAGAACTATACTTATCTGTAGATCTAAAGATAAATATTTAGATTAAGGGTTTTGGTAGTTGAGTAAAGTGGTGGTTGTCATTTCTCTTCCATAGTCTATGACTTCACTAGCCCTATGTAGTTGGGCTAAGTTTGTAGTACCAAGTATGGTTTCCACTTATTGATCAGGTCTGAATTCCAGTTGGAGAGCTTTAAGTTACTGCCAAGGAAGAGAAACCATTACTACACCCTTAAGATTATAAGCCATGCTAGTTGTTGTTATCATTCTTAGGTGTTATAGATGGATAGGAGCATTTGTTTCCCTTTGTTGGAAGAATTCTTGTCTATAGTTCAGGGAACAATTCTAACTCAGGGGCCTCTGGTCCCTGTTTCTGAAGTACATGGCATCCTTAGCAGTAGGTATTTAACCTCCAGATCCTGGGGGAAGAGCAACCAAGGACAATAGCCATATTTTGTGTACTTTTGGAGTCTCTTAGACAATCCTGACTATTCTGGCCACTTTTATGTTAACTTGAAATAAGCAGCATCACTAGAGAATAGGGATCCTCAGTTGAGGAAATGCCTTCATAAGATTCAGCTGTAGGCAAACCTGCAGGGCATTTTCTTAATTAGTTATTTATATGGGGAGGCCTGGTCTATATATAATAGGTGGGACCACCCCTGTATAGGTAGATATAGGTTCTAGAAGAAAGCAATCTGGACCAGCCATAAAGAGCAAACCTGTAAGCAGTAACTCTTCATGGCCCATCAGCCCCTGCCTCCACATTTTAGCCCTTCTTGAGTTCATGTCCTGATTTCCTTCAGTGACTATGGTATGGAAGTATAAACCAAATAAAGGTTTTCTTCTCCTGCTTGTTTTTGATCATGGTGTTTTATCACAATAGTAAGCCTAACTGGAAAATGGACCAACAACTCAAAGGAGAGCTTCTCATGTTTGATACTGGGTTTCTTGATAGGTGGTCTATCTCTAGAAGAGAATATTATCAGCCCTAATTTCTTCATTAGCTTTCTCTCTTCACCATTTTTGTATAACTTATATAATATTGAAAGGTAAATATCTCTCTAACATTCAGAATAATTAGTCATTCATTCCTTCTCTAGCATCCTTCACAAGTGGCTAGTTATTTATTTGGGGATATTTATTTTTTTGTTTGTTTTTGCAATTCTGTCTTTTCAAGAAGGTTCTGAATGGGGAAGGCAGAAATTTAGTTTTCTTTACACTTCACATTTTAAAACCATATAGCCTCATGGAGTATCTAATTCCTAAGTGTTTTATTTTTTTTTCAAATGGAAGAAAAAGGTTCACAAACACAAATCAACATCCAGCAAAAATGAATTACCTTCAAATGATAAAACCTTGATAAAATGGTAACATTTATCTGTTCAGTTTTTAAAAGAATGATCTCTCTGGAGACTCAGCCAAAGGTACCATCTTCATGAAAGGCCAGGTACTTATGTTGTCCAGAGAAGAGGACACAGGAATTCACAAAAATGAAAGAAAATATGAAGGCCCAGCAGTCATTTTTTTATTTAATTTAATTTAATTTAATTAACTTTATCAATTTATTTTACATACCAACCACAGTTTCCTTTCTGTCCTCTCCTCCATTTCATTCCCAGCAATCCCAACTACCCTCTTTCCCCAATCTACTCCTCTTCAGTCTCCTTTCAGAAAGGGGCGGGCCTCCTATGGGCTTGAACAAAGCAGGGCATATCAAGTTGAGGTAAGACTGAGCTCCTCCCCCTGCATACATGCTGGAAGTAATCCAGCATGGGGAACAAGTTCCCAAAAGCCAGCGAAGTATCAGGGATAGGGCTGACCCAGATGTCTTTGAAAGACATGCTAAGAAAGCTGTCTTTCTCTTTGACTATTTTCATATGATTCAGATTACTAAATTTATGTAACAAGTGGAAATTTAATACTGCTACATTTTTAAATGTCCTAATTTGAGCAGACCCATATATATATATATATATATATATATATATATATATATATATATATCTGAAGATTTCTTGTTTTTAAAGATGTGTTTTACATAATATATTTTGATCAGATTCTCTTTACCTTCTCTAAACTGACTCAGATTCTTCTTGCCTCCCTACAAACTCAAATTCGTGTTTCTCTCTATGTCAAAATATTTAGAAAAACTCTAGAATAACCAAAACAAATTAAGAAAAAGGCAATACCAAAACAAAACAAAAGTGCTCAAGGAAAAAAAATGGAGTCTATTTGTGTTGGTCATTTACTCTGAAGCATAGTGCCTGGCTTGGATCCTGTTTGATATACCCAGTGTCACTCCACAACCACTGGATAAAACAGATATCCTGTCCAAGCAGCTGTCAGTTGCCAGTATCTTCTTGTATAAACATGGGATTTTTGTCTACTTTCCATTTTTAGTGTGGGATTTTTTTTGGTTTGAACCTGTGCAGGTCTTGGGTGTGTTGTCACATTCTCTGTGAACTCATATGGTTACCAGTCCTGTTGTGTCTAGAAGAATCTACTTCATTGGAGTCCTCCACTACCTCTGGCTCTTATGACCTTTCCTCATGCTCTTATGCATGATCATTTTAAATAGAATTCATTGTATCATATAGTAAATTGAGTCTATAAAAATATATAGTTTCATTATAGGTGCAGATGCTAAAGAAAAGGAATCATTGAAAACTCATTTATTTATTAGAAGTAAATAATTACAGACTATTATTATTATTTTTTTTCAGCAGTGAAAAAAAAAACAAAGAAATTGGTCAACAGAATAATCATGGTCCCTTTTTTCCCCAGCATTTTGTTATAACTACTGATTTCCTTTCCCTGAATACTTTGTCTGGTCGCTTACTAATTGAGTTAATACAACTCAAATGATTGTACATATATTTTCAGTCTCAATTCAAAATTTTCAGCAAGGTTATTTGTTGAGAAGACGTGGATACTAGAGTTAGTAGTATACTTGAGTTTTGATCACTCAGATATAAGCCTATAGGCTTTAGCTCAGCTGCTTTAACAGCCTGTTGTAATGAGTATGGTTTTTCTGCCTGCCGCCTGGTCTTGTCCCGCCTGGTCTTGTCCCGCTGCAATGCCAGCCCCAAATAACACACTGAGACTCTGTATTAGATATAATTCTGTTGGCCCGGTTACTTGTTCCTTATCGGCTACCTCTGTCTTAATTATTAACCCATTTCTATGTATTTCCACATGGTCTTACCAAGAGCGGAGGAATGGCGGTTCTGTTCTCTCCAGGCTCTCCATCCTGACTCCTCCTCCCTACTTCCTATTTCCTCCTTGTCTCCTAGTCCCTCCTATCTTCCTTTCCTATTGGCCAACAGTGCTTTATTTATTAACCAGTATGAGAAACATATACAGAATGACATCTCCCATCAGCCTGTGTCTTATCTCAATGCATACCTGAGCTTCTCTTGGTATCTTTATGGCGGTGGATATCACAAAGCATAGTCCTTTCTCAGGAAATCTGTCATTACTAAGTGTTGAAAGCTCAGTTTTATACCCAGTTTTAGTCTGCAGTAGATCTTACAGAGCTGTACTATAAAGGTTTACTCAGCAGTGACACAGTTGTTCCTGGATAAAAAGAATGAAGGAAGATCCTTTGAAGCATGATTTTCTGTCAGAGCATCAGAACTCAAAAGGACAAGAAGGAAATTTATTCAGTGTAAAACTCAATCAAAATATAGTCTAAAGTAAGCTTTCATTTCTATTTTTCTTACACATTGTTTCCCTTCTATGTTTTCAGGAACATACTTCTCTAGTTCTTTATTAGTTTACTGATTCAATTGCTGTTTATATGACTGCTAGGCAGGGTGTCAAGATGGATCACTTGTAAT